AGACGTTTCATTACCCTAATTAGGTAACATCATCAGTGCTAGTGGTAACATCAGCACTGATGATCTTACCTAGTTAGGGTAATGAAATGTCTGCAAGAAAACAAGCAAACTCAGAGAGCACCCAGGACCCCTTGTAGATGTACCCTTTTGGCAGAGCCTCTAGCACTGATAGGCTAGAAGTACCCAGGTTTCTGAATTCACTACTTAAAAGTTGAGATTCTCATTTGGCTTCATGATTTATTGTAGCTCAAAGCTCTAAGTGCTGGCAAGCTTCAGATCAAAATAGTTATCCTTTGATGATCAACTTCTGAATGGATCCCTGTTGGTTGATTTGGTAATGAAGGAGAGTTGTTCCAAATTATCTTTTTCTGATTCTGGTACTCTATTTGAAGGGGAGTCAGGATGAGATCCTTAGAAGTAGTTCTTTTACAACATCTTTATACAGCCTAGGTCTTTGGATCTGACCAAGAAATTTGAAAAATAAGAAAGAATATTTAGGCAGTCACAGAGCAGTAGCTTGCCATTGCTGGGGCTTCTGCAAGGTGATAGGAGGTATTTGGAATAATTGCATTTGGCTCCATTCTCTCGTATTTTTCAGCATGTTTTATGATATTATCCATCCTCTTTCCTCAGGCTAAGGATGTTTTTCTGGGGGGAAAAATGCTTGAACTGTGCCATTTGGGAAACAGGCGCAAATACTCAATTTCCATTCATCCTTCTCCCAGAAACACCTAGGTTGAAGTTAATGATATGGCCTATGGCCAAAAAGCACTCAGAAGCCAGCTTGGTGTAGTAATTAAAGTACCAAGCTAGAAGTTGGGAGTCTAGTTCTAGTCCTGTCATAGTCACTAGGCCAGTGGTGGCGAACCTACCACTACTCAGAGTACCTCTCTGTGGGCACGCACGCCGTCGCCCCAGTCCTAGGCCTTCAGCTGGGTTTTATAAAACCTTTTCGTTTTAGGGCTCCACCGCCGTGTGCAAAAAAAAAAAAAGGTTCAATCAGGAAATTTCAACTTCTTGCGGGGAAAAAAAAGATCTTGCAAAGTTGGAATTGATTGATTGAATTTTTTAGTCCCACCCAGTCTGCCGTTACCACCGCAGCCACGCCACCCAATGGGCCACACCCACACGGCACCCGACGATGCATAAGTGGGTTTTGGGTTGCAGTTTGGGCACTCAGTCTCTAAAAGGTTCGCCATCACTACACTAGGCCAAATGGGTGACTTTGGGCCAGTCCCTCTCTCTCAACCCTAGGAAGGAGGCAGTAGCAAACCACTTCCCCAAATCCTGAAACTAGTTCAGGCACTCACCAAGAATCAAAGAAACAACAACAACAAAATAATATTCCTTTGGTTTAGACTCTAGCTTTTTTTTTTTTGTTCCTCCAAATTAACACTAGTGTGTACTCTTAAGTCAAAGAAACAAAGTTATTGAGCAGCCTATCTTTCCCTATGCTGTTGAACAAGTATCACTTTCAGTTCTATTATGATTTTTTACTTTAATATATTGCCTGGATTAGACAGTAGGAAGAACTACACTCCTACTCTACCCCATTGTTCCACAGCGAGTAAGGTACTGAGCAGCCTCCTACTCATTTCAAGCTGCAGCTAGTAAAGGTTCCTTTCTGAATTAGATCACTGGAAGAGGTGGCCACCAAGCCCTAACCTCTGCTCAGTACAGCACCACATCCAGTCCAATTTTACTCAAGGCCAGATCCAGAATGAAATTAAGGGAAACAGACTTCCGTTCTCCTGTACTTTCACACTATATGGATGCATTAAATCTAATCAAGGTAAACTATCACAAGTTTCACAGACTTTGATACAAGATTTTTCAAACTATTTTTAAAGCACTCAAAGTTTACAATAGTAGTCTCTAAAATGGGGAGTATCCTTGCAAAATTTCAGATGGATAGTGGGTTGTTGGGTTTTTTTTGCAATGAAGAAACACAAGTAGTTAATGATACTTAAAGTGGAAGTATAAGGAATTAATTTATTGGTACTGCTATTCCTAGCGATTGAGTGAATTCGTACGTCTGACCAACTACCAGCACTCACAAAACATAGCTAAAAGAGCTCAGATGAGGCAACCTTGAGGGTAGAGCACACATTTAAATGAACGCTCTTCAGATTGTGCCACCAAGACTGGCTGTCAATCCCAAGATGCAATGACTAGGAGGAGAACTAATGTTTTAATCACTGGGCTTCTTGATTTGAGGCTACACCTCTCTGTAAGTGGAATTTGGGAAAGTCAGCCCTGGAACAGCTATGCGAAGATCCAGAATCAAAATGAAGCAAGCTCAGAACCATTTGCTCCATTCCACGTTAAGAGAAATCTGTTTCAAATTCTCTTGCTGCATCTTGCAAATTTTTAGTCAGATAAACAAACACTGGTATATTAAATCACACAAGAATTGTGAACTGCTCAATGATTGAAGTAGTTTAAGTAAGTAAATGTGTGTCAATATTTTAAATCCAATGGTTTATGGCTTAGCAAGGTCATAGAGGATAAAAAAAAATTAAAATATAACAAAATCAATGCAATAGCTCTTTATAACTAGCAGGAGTAACTTCAATGTTTAAAAGACAAAACTGAAGTAGTGTCTTGTTTTCACCTGCCAGGTGTAAGCATGAAAGAACAAGCAACACAGTAACTCTCAGCCAACTCTGGAAATCTCATGAATGCTATTAACAGCCACTGCTCAGTCCTGATTCCTCATATTTCCCCCCATGCACTTTTCTAGTTGAGGCTCTAAATTGGATTTTTAACATGGCTATACACTGTTCAAGAATGATTCGGAAGTGCTGTGGATCATGCGCAAAGCACAGTCCCGCTCTTAACACAAGAACCCATTTCATTTCAGACTTCTAATTGAACCTGATTGAAGCCATAACCATATTTAGATTATGGAACTTTTAAAAACAGCTACCATTAAGTCAGGTATTTTTACGAATAGCAAAAGATGCAAAACAGTATTTACACGAAGTCCAGATATTTCTTCCAATAATTTTCAAAGCCCGCATAGTCTTATTTCCTACCATCTTTGGGGATATTTCCCATCCAACTTTTCTAATACTTGGTGTGCAGGTACCTTCCCCACCAAAAAAATGTTGCTAACACTTCTTGTCACACAAGCAGACCTGAGGTGGGGGAACCTGGGAGGAATAATTCAGATATGACTACTCACATTGATTAAAGATGTCTGGTTAATTTAAAAATGTTATTACAGCTGTGGATACGATATATCTTCCTGACTGTAAATATGAACAGTGCTAATTCTTAACCACACAGGAATGCTCTGACAAAGGGAGTTGAAAAGGACAACATTATATTTTAATTTTCAGGCTTCTGCATTAATACTACAATAATTCTTTTCCTAACAAGCAAGCGATTAGAAATATGTTACATCCTAGGCAAGAAACCATAGTGATGATGGAAAATCATATAGCTGTAGGCCTTGTACTTTTAGTTCTCAAATATTTATGTTTTTGCATAGTAACTTTTAAGACACTTGTGGCACATTAAAAATGGTTATTAAGATTGGAGGATTAAACAACTGAAGTACCTTTTAAGAAATATTTACTCCTGAGATAAAGTCCAAACTTCATGAGATCTGAGCTATGTTGCAAAAAATAAATAAAACGGTGATTTATAGCACCTCCGCTATTTATCCATGTTGGTGTTCAGGATGAGGTGCTAGCTGCACGTTTGAACACAAGTATTCTATTCAAAATCAAAGCAATTGGATGAGCAGCAGGTAATGCTGCAACCCTCCCCAAGGAAAATAAAAGTCAAGGATCCAGTATATATTCTTAAATATGGTTTAATACTCTTCTCCATTTCTGTACATCACAACACCAAGATATCACTGCTTGGGAGCTCTCTGAAGAGGCTACGTAGTATGCAAAAGGCTTAGGATTCTCATCCTTTTAATGTGTTTGTGTAAGTGTAATACATATCAGTATATATTGATATATACATCAATATATAATGCAATATATACCACCAGAGATCACACATTGATTAGAGAGATACAAAATTTTGGCATCATTTCCAAACTTAAATAGTAAAAATAAAACTACCAAAAAAAAAAAAAAAAAAAAAAAAAAAAAAAAAAAAAAAAAAAAAAAAAAAAAAAAAAAAAAAAAAAAAAAAAAAAAAAAAAAAAAAAAAAAAAAAAAAAAAAAAAAAAAGGAGCTGCATACCCTAAATGTGAAACAAGCAGTATATTCAAAAACTAAATTTACACCCAATTTTTCTGCTCTTGTCATGTCATAGCAGACCCATTTACAATGGCAAAATCAAAGTATGCTGCTTTGAAGAGCTTAAGGATGCTTGTGATCACAATTTCGGCAAATCAGTCTGAATATTCATAATCATAAAGAGCTTCCACCCTAAGAGATTCCACCCAATGTGAAAACTTCCTGTGGGCAAACACATGCATTGCCTGCTTGCCAAGTTATAAAAAGATACAAATTCTATTGCTCACATTGACAGAAAGTCATTTTGGACCTTTTTAAAGTATATACTGTGATGAGAAGGCTTAGTTAAGACAACTCTCCCTTCAATTCAAGTGAGGCAGGATTTGGAACGATATACAATGTTCGTAGGTTGGGAGTCTTTGACCAACACAAGAAAGATAAGGAAAATGAGAACAGAGCCAGGCATTAAAAAAAAATATCAAGAGTACCTTTCGAAAATCAGCCAGTCCTAAAGGAATGCAGGAAAGTGAGCTAACTGCCTTGCATGAATTATGCCATAGTGTTGAATGTGAATCTTTGGTGCCTAACTTCTTTTAAAAAAAAAAAAGTTTATTTCTACAGAAGCTCCATAGCCACCAGTTCCAAGGCTTATGTCGGTCACATTTTGCTAGATAATTGCATTTTAAAGCAGTTTGTGAATGTTGGCTGTTGATTCACCAAGGCAGCTTATGCAGTCCCAAAGCAAAACATAAAAAAAAAAAGAAACCTAGTAAAGTACAGAACCAAGCGTAAGCAGTATTAGCTTGCTTGTGGAAACTGTTTATTGACTGACAAAAGGGAAAAGTGAAGGCCACACAACTCATAATCCCGGTTAAGCCTGCTGAGACCCTGGCACTTCCAATTTTCTTTAATGAAACACACTTCCTGATTTATACAAACAGTGTTTTTGCAGTCTAAGAATGAAACAGGTGGACCTCCCAATTTTAAAGTCACACCTTTCAAAGCTGGCACAGCAGAGAGTTTAATTCCTTTTACTTCCACCACTGTAGACTGGGAACAATAGGAACAAGGTCTCGCTAAGATGGTTCTTCTGCAGTCTAAGCCAAGAACGCCATGTAAATGGGTCGTATCACTGCAAAAAGCAGCAATAAATTTCCTCCTATCAAAGTAAGAAACAAACCAGTATAATTACTTTGTTTCAAATGAAGGTTGAGAGCAGTTAATGTAGCTGAAGGTTAAAAAAATCATTTTCATAAAATACAAGAGCAACCAATTTCACCATTAAGTAAAAGTAAAAACTGGGATTCTTTTTTTAATTAGTCCAAATGGCATTATAGAAATCTAGTAGAGTGCTGCTGTACTGACACTATGACAAATCAGTAGGGTTTGCTTTCTTTCTCTTTCTTTTTTTGAAAACCGATGTTCTGGATAAAGTTCTGGAAATACTCCAATTCTAAGGCAGGGATCTGTTTTGTTTTCCATCATGAGTTTTCTCCTTGGGTTGGATGCTGGAGGGGTGAGGCACATTTGCCAGACCCAGGCCGACTACCTAGTAGTCATCAAGGTCAAAAAATTCATCATCTCCTCCTTGGTATTCCATTCCCTGGAAGTCCACTCGGTACCGCAAGATACCTTTGGAAATAAATGTTAAAGGGAAGATATTACAAATACCTCCTATTTATGAAGAACATTCAGCACAAAGCCTGCTTCCTGGTACCAAAGTACTGAACTAGACTATATTTTCCTTCCCGCTAGTGTTGAACACTGTTTTAAAACTTATACAGAAAAATCTCAGTTTAAATTGTTGGCTTCAAACAAGTTTGCCACTAATAATTCATGTCAGAGCAGTGCCGCAAATCTGACCTCTAAAAGTATGTTGATTTGCAGCACATGACAGCATTTCATTTCAGTTTTAACCAAATTTCTCATCCATTTGTATGTCAATTATGTTAAAAAAATTTCAACAATAGTATAAGCATGAACTTTACCACATCTGGAAAAAAGATCTTAAAACTATATGCTGAAACAAGCAGTTCACTATGGTGGGACAGAACTGGCAAAGAATATCTAACTTGAGACAGGCAAGCAAGAAATCACAGGGCAAACTATTTGTGGATTAAAGCGTAGTCTAAAGTAGCTGGTATCTGGGTTCCAGTCTGAATAGCATATATTTGTCCAAAAGAGTGGAATAAATACATAAGAATTGTCATAAAAGTAGCAAGTGACTGAAAACATTCTTAAATTCTTATTGCAATTTTACTGTAAACAAATAGTGTGCCAACTAATGTGCTGTGAGTGATCTCCTTTGTGAAATACTATTCCTGGAGATATCCACACAAAACATTTTCACACCTCTCTTTACAGAAGATAAGGAAACATTTGCATTTTTCTTCAATCCATCAACTATTTCTAGCCATCACCCCAAATTCAGAGAATATCTGGCATCTACAGGGGGTGGAACAGGGAAGGATAGCATTGTCATAATCAGCTAAGAGGAGATAATGTGGCAATCTTCATCCTGGTTAAAGCAGCAGGGTTATGCTAAATCAAAACATATAATTCATAAAGGCAAAATTACAAACTACAATGTTGCTTTCGTATCAGAATATACATGCATTCAGCAAACTGATGTCTCACCTAATGCCAACCATATTTCTTGCCATTTTTTTTAGTACAGGTAGTCCCTCAACTTACAACAGTTCTTTTAGTGACCGGAATTATAACAGCCCTGAAAAAAAATTGTGACCCCTTTTCACACATACGACCACTGAAGCATCCCCATAGTCACGTGATCAAAATTCAGATGCTGGGCAACCAGTTCATATAATAATAATAATAATAATAATAATAATAATAATAATAATAATAATAATAATAATAATAATAATAATAATAATAATAATAATAATAATAATTAATAATAATAATAATAATAATAATAATAATAATAATAATAATAATAATAATAAAAAGTTGGAAGGGACCTTGGAGGTCATCTAGTCCAACCCCCTGCTCAGGCAGGAAACCCTATATACCATTTGAGACAAATGGCTGTCCAGTCTCTTCTTAAAAACCTCCAGTGTTGGAACATTCACCACTTCTGGAGGCAGGTTGTTCCACTGGTTAATTGTTCTAACTGTCAGGAAGTTTCTCCTTAGTTCTAGGTTGCTTCTCTCCTTGGTTAGTTTCCACCCGTTGCTTCTTGTCCTGCCTTCAGGTGCTTTGGAGAATAGCTTGACTCCCTCTTCTTTGTGGCAGCCCCTGAGACCGTTAAGAGTGTCTTGGGGTCATACGACCACCTTTTGCAAACTTCTGTCAAGCAGAATCAATGGGGCAAGCCAGATTCACTTAGCAACCATATTACTAACTTAACCACTGCAGTAATTCACTTAACTGTGGCAAGAAAGGTTGTAAAATGGGGCAAAACTCACTTAACAACTGTCTCGCTTGGCAACAGAAATTCTGGGCTCAATTGTGGTCATACGTCAAGGACTAACTTTATACTATTAATGTATTTTGCTCAGTCTCTTTACTGCATTGATCAGTGCACCTTAATATCAACCGAAGATGCTTTCTTTAATGACAAAAGTAGCATTTACATCGTATCTATTCTAGCACTCAGCAATAACTATTCTTACTGCAGTGCAAATCTCATTAAGTTCAATAATGTACTCCCAAGGAAAGCTTGTCAAAGCCTGCCAGCTATCAGATGTACGGGAAGCCTAAATTATCTGACAAAATTACTGAGATAATTATGGAAGTATTACAAACACATATTCTCCATGTAGTAATTTGCTTTACATTCTTATTGCATTGTTTACACTAGGAATATTTATATTATCATCTTTACATAAATCAAGGCTTCTCTTAAAAAAAGCTGTGGGTCATAGAACATCGATTTTTCTTCCCCTTGTGGACAAGCATATCTGTGAGCACTAATCCTCCAAGAGTTTAAAGCATGTCAATGCAACTTAAAGGACAATCAAAAGACTACGCAAAGCATCCTCTGAAAAGAAATTTCAAGTTATTCATTATGTTGTAACTATCTGCCAAATGATGAAATATTGACAAGAACTGTAAATTCTATTAATGTAAAACACAATTTATGCCAAAAAAACAGGAGTGGACTAGTGGTCTGGAAGACCACTGCAAATAGTATTTGGCACAAATGCCAAAATAAATAATCATTTGTTGAAATAATTAATATTTCACAGGATCTTAGTGTTCTCCATTGAAATTGTGCGACATTTTGACAATCTTGCCAATTGGGGACACAACAATGAAGGGCACATAGTAATCATGCACTCAAATTATTGTTTTCATTTTCCATTTACCTCCAATCCCTCCAAATCCTTTCACAAACTGGGATCCTTCCTGCGACTTGTCTGTCACAATTTCCAACGTGGCTCCAAATTTCTTGTAGTTGTTTGCAAACCACTCAAGCAGAGGCATGCTTTCTATTAGTTCGTGCTCCTGTCCCGTCTAAAAGAGATGACATTTGAAGTGTACCTATTAGCAATGTTATGTTTCAAATCAGTAGGCAATGTACTATTAGTATTTACCTCATTAGGCGCAGAGCATTGTGTTGCCAAAATAAAGAAGCATGCAATAGAAAATAACCAGAATAATGCCAGAATAATATAAGAGGATATACTCGGCTGGTACCCCAAGCTGCACTCGACGAGGTGGTTAAGAATGCGGAGGGGATGTAGAGAAGTGGTAAGAAAAGGAGGAGAGGTTGTGGGTTCAGGGGGAGGAAGGAGAGGTAAAGTGGATGAGGGTGGAGGCAAGGCGGGGACTGCCGAGTGTATCCGAAAATGTTTTGAGTCTTTTTATTGTTTGTTGGTGTATATAGAGGCATCATTTGTATTTGTTGTTTTAATTGAAAAATTAATAAAAATTTCTATTAAAAAATAAAAAATAAAATAATGCCTTTCATTCACTTTCCATAGTGTATAAACCTAGCATCACACCAAAATGAATTGTTAGCAAGTCTATGTCACTTATCTCACTGTTATACGCTTATCTCCATATTAGGACATCATTCAGGATATTACTTATCCCCTTTAGAATCCTAAATAGTTTGGAACAATAGCATTTAAAAACCATCATCTTTACAGAATTATCTGCTTGCTAATTCCACTGTGCCCTATTACTGTGAAAGAAGAAAGAACAAAAGAACAAAAAAAAGGTATTTTGCTGATTATTGGGAACCCAAAAAACCTTGGAATTAGCAAGCAGGTAATTCTGTAAAGATGATGTTTTTTAATTCCATAACAAAAACTGACTTCATAGGCTCTGTGTTAAGGACGTCCCCATTCTTCTGCTGGAATTCTGCAAAACCCTTAAATCCAGCAGCATCTCCGAAAAGTTACGTCAAAAAATAAGGGTTCATCAAAGATAATAGCCGAGACTCAATCATTCTTAAACGCATAGGACAAAAATAAAGCTGTCGATCTGGTTCTCTTTCTAATGGCAATTATTTTCCAAAACAATTCATTCCAAGGGCATTGCTTCATGTCCTTGCTCTTGCCTACTAAGGCAAGGAGGAGCACAGGGGGCCCCACTGCTTCATACCACTGGAAGGATCATATGATAGCATGACCATAAGAAACAGTGTGCTTAGGCAGGAGTGCTTCCAGTTCTCTCCTGAAGAAAGGCAGATAATTATTTTTTTATTCATTTATTCAATTTCTATAGCCACCATCTCAATGGCTCTAGGTCGCTTATTAATAAAATTAATTCGAGTATCTAGGAGATAGAATTTGCATTGCCTGTACTGTTGAATTCTGAACACAATTCTTTACTACGTTAATTTCCATTCCAGCACACACTCAAAGGATTTAGAGTACAAATACATGAACTACCCCATGCTCTTCTCTTGTGATTTATCTGGGATGTCTCTACTGAAATCATGATCATCAAAATGCCACAAATGGGGAAAAAAAAATAAACCCTGGCTTTTGATAAATACCTCTTTATCTGTGAAGTGGGATTTATCTTTTTCTTGTTCTGGTGTCAAATAGAGAATCTTCTCTTCTGCAGGAGGGGGAGAAAAAAGCATAATATACATTAATAGCACAATGTCCTAAAGTGAAATCAGATGATCCAATTAGCATTACACAAAATATTACCAATACAGATTAGGGAATCTATTCATTATGGGGGGAAGTTGTGGTCCTTTACCCCATCTCAGTTTTCTTTGACATAAAAGAGATGCTAGAATATTGTTTGTTAAGTAAGAAAGAAGATGCAGGAGAAAATTACTAGCTATATGGATGCATGCCTTTTATTTTTCTAGAAGGAGAAGGAGAACACCACTACTGACTAGATTGGATTGGAAATTCCAAGAGGTTTTTTTTCCCCTTGCATATTCAAGAAGAAACTGCAACCCAATAGATGAGTATGAAATACTGTAGAAGAGATTTATTGTTATGAAAATGTGGAGGGATGTCACATGACCAGTAAACAGCATAAGAATGAGGAAAAGCACTGAAATAAAAAAAAAAAAAGCGGACAAACTGAAACTACTGGATGACCATGGAGGAGTCCCACGATAGAAAACAGAGTAATTTCTTCCAGATCTTTCATCGTGCTACCTCATGTAATGCTTCTTACTGTAAAACAGTCTTCCTTTCTAGATCTCAATATGGATGAAGGCAGATGTTAATTGTTCCCTTTTTCTGTCCTAGGCACTCAGATAACAGATAAGAGTTGCGTGATTGTAACACAAGAGCTGAGAAGAATGAAGCTAGAACCATTAGGATAATAACTGCAGTTGTCTCAACTAGACATGTTCTGACCATAATCACTGTAAAATTAGAGCTACCTGCATGGATCACATCCAATGAGTACACATAGAAGTAGTCCTCAACAATCATCTGTTTAGTGACCGTTCAAAGTTACAACAGCATTGAAAAAAGTGACTTATGATCTTTCTTCACACTTGTGACTGTTATAGATCCCCATGATCACATAATCAAATTTTGAATGCTTGGTTCATATGACGGTTGCAATGTCCCGGGGTTATGTGATCCTTTTTGTGATCTGACAATCAAAGTCAATGACGAAGTCAAATTCACTTAACAACCAGGTTACTAACTTAACAACTGCAGTGATTCACTTAACTGTGGCAAGAAAGGTCAAAACTCACTTAACAGCTGGACTTAATGAAAGCAGCAAGAATGCAAACATTTACAGTGACCTACAATCCACATATAAATAATAATTCCTGAAATCCCAAGAGCAAAGCGATGGGCATCACATACCTTCCGTGCCTTGGCAATGAAGTACATATCTCATTATATCCAGGTTCTCATAAACTATCAGGATTTCTACTGCTCCCATTTCTAAGGCTTTTAGAGTATCTTCAACCCCAAAACAGTATTTTCCTGTGTCCTGACTGATTTCGTCAAAGTATCGCCCTACATTTAGTGCAAACCAGAGAGAAATGTTATAAAATATGATTATTTTGCACAAAAACAAATTAATTAGGCCAAGAAGGCCACATTACTGAGACAGATGGTGACAAATATGTTTAGGAAGACAATGATTTATCAGATTAAAAAAAATGAGGCTAGATGACTATAGGACCAGATACTTTTTACAAATTCTTCTTTTGGGCGGGTAGGGATGGTTATGGGCAGCTACAGGCATTCTTTTATATTTCAGCCCAGGTTCAGACAGCAGTGGTCTCTGTTGTAGATGATTTGTATTAAAGCAATTTTCTGATGATCTTTGACAGCACTGACCATAGAAACTTTCTGGACCATCTAAAAGGATTGGGGAGTGGAGGCAGTGTCCTACATGGTGTAGGGAAGAGATGTCAGAGATATGTTAGATCCATTGTGCTTGCCTCTTGCTTTTTAATGTGTACATGAGGTCACTGGGTAAGGTTATCCATCTGTTTGGAGCAGGGGTAGGCAATTAATTTCCCCAAAGAGCCACATGGGACTGGGAATGTAGTAAAGGATTGAACCAATAGGGCTGTGAAGATACATAGGCCTGCATACACATACATACATAAATTGAAAAAAAAATAGCAATCATCAAAAAAAAAGTAATGCAGTTGTATTATTTATATTTGATTTCTAGTTCTGGATTGACCTCACATGGATCAGACAGGGACAGCTAAAGGGCGGAATATGGCCCAGAGGCCGTAAAATACCCAGGTCTGGTTTGGAGTATGCTGACAATACTCAATAGTAACTTGAGGGTCAAACAAGATGGGTAAATAAGAGTTACTGATTGATGGACAGATTGAAATAATGGCCAGGAGAGGCTCTGGCTAACTCTGATTGTTATGCCAATTATGTCCTTTTCTGCAGAAGGAAGACCTATTAATACTAACTTATCACTACTTGTCTTTGTCACTGCCTTATGCTCTATATAGAACTGCCTATAAAGCCCATTCAGAAAGTAAAATTACTCCAGAATGTGATGATCTGGTGGTTAGTATTGGCATTCATCCCCAATAGCACATTATACCCTTGTTCCAGACAGTAGTTTAGCTTCCTATCGGCTTCTGAGTACAATTCAAAATGCTGATTGTCATCCATAATGTTCTATATGGTTGGCAATAAGGCTATTCAATTGGACTTCATCTACCTCATTCATACATTTTGATAAAACTGATTACTTCTGTGACATATGGGAGCAAAGGCCGATCAGTGCCACTATTCATTACTAACACCTACTCTTGAATAGCCTTCCCTCAAAATCAGATACGTTCTACTGTTTTTAACTTTTGAAAATTGAATTATTCCAGAGGGATTATGGTAAGTAGGAAGCCCCTTTGGTTTGATGTTTTGAATTTTATTTTAATTGTACTACACTTGTTTTATTATATATCCTTTGTTACTTTCTACTGTCTCATGATTGCAGCAGGTATAAATTTGGTAAAACACACATTAGTGTGTAATGTTTGAACGAAAGGTTCTGATACATGACTTGAAATCCCAGATGGAGAAACAAACTTTTATTTTGTGACTAGCATGGAGGTTTCTCTTTGCATAGAGTTCTGACTCAGTAGCAAATTATATAGTCACTACTCATAGTCACCAACATTGAAGCAATAGCATTTTCTTCTGGTAAGCTCAAGGAGTATGAAGCACCAACACAAAAAACAAATATACATAGGAAACAGATGTTAAAATTTGATTAAATATTACACTGTGTTAAAAATATTTTTAATTCAGAATTTTTGTGTCTGTAGCTAACACCAAAGAATGTTGAGTGGAAAGCTGTTACCACTATTCCTTAAGGACAAGATAATTCCTATAGAAACTAGATAATATGGATGCTAGATCTTTATTTTCTTTTTTTGACTATACATTTTATGTTGAATGCAACATGAAAAAATGGATGTGTATTTCTTCATACCTATTAGCTTCTTTTCTTGAATGAATTTCACATTAGACAGGACCTCAGTGGACAATTCAATTGCTTGATTGAATCCATTTTCACCACCATATGAGATGTCAACTAGCTTTAATACTTTGGACTGCAACCTCTGCAAAAATAGAGGTCTAATATTAGAAAAGATAAATGAACAATTAAAAATCTGAAAGTATTACACAAGATGAAATAAATAATAACCAGCATTAACTTTTTTAAAAAAAAAAAAAATTCCAACCTCCAAACCATTTGCGCTTATCATCTTTTAGTGATTTTATTATAATTTCCTTGATTGTCATGAGCCACTCAGAGTTGTTACTATTATTAAAAATGATAAACTCCAGTAAAGCACTATAACCTTGATGTGCTTGTGGCACTTATGTGCTCTGAAGATGATGAGAGCTATGCCAGATATTATTAACATACTGACAGCTTACATCCTGCAATGATAATTTTAACATCATCAAACAATATTTGTCTATTCCAGGTTTTTGGGAAGGACTTGATAGGTAGATGAAAATGCCAAATCCAGTCTAAACATCTGGCCGACTATGCTAATTCCAACGGCCAAGGTTTTAAAATCTGTAAACTCTTCTCCTTTAGTATTCTCAATGTTGTTGGTTTTTCTATTTTATAAATGTAGCTCCAATAGCCACATATTTCAGTTGCTATTATCAGCTTACTATTGGAAAGACTTTAGATGTATCCTAGTAAGCCATACAACTATCAATCAGATATTACATGTATAACTGCTAGTAAAATTAACAACCATCAGCAAATTACTTCTACTTACCTGATCAAACATATCTGATTGACTTAATTCAGTTTTGAAATCAGCTGACCCAGCTAACACAAGACCAGCCACATTCACTTTGTCACCAGAAATAAACAGCTGCACAGCAGTTTCTGCTACTTTCCTTACATAGTTGTGACGTTTTTCCATTCTCAAACGAGCAAAACGCAAGGCAGACTGGCCTCCTCTCCCTTTGAAAGGCAAGAGATATAAATATATAATATTAGCTTTGGTATCTTTCAACATTCAAATTGGAAGAGTCTTGATTGGTCTAGTCAGGGTTTTATGACTATCGGGACAAACCTGGGTCTATCTCAAATGTCACCTGCCCAATGGCATGTAGAAAATCATGCAACATGTTAGCAAATGTTCAAGATCAAGCTTAGGTTGTGGCAGCGATGGGATACCAACCCAAAACAAAATTTCTCTACCACTGTGTCCTATCAATGTCACTCAGCAGAACTTTCCTATGTGATTCAAGAACTTTTAGGATCTGGCCAAAGCTAAAAAATCATTTGGAACCCTGTAGCTCTTTTCTGCAACGCTTGGCTAGACTTTGTACTAAACCAAACTGAAGAATCTACATGTTCAACAGTTCAATCTATAGAAATGAAAAAGCTGCCTGATCAAGATTTTGGTGTGGGGTGGGACTGCTTCACTTTTTAAGATCCAGTGATGCAGATAAAATGTCTAGTAGTGTCAAACAACTGTATACAGTAATTACTTGCTTCTTTTTCCTCACAGATTATTTTATTTAATGTTCAGGTGGATTTAGGAGATTTATAAATTCCTCCTCATGAACAGAAGTGACTCCAGCTTCATAAAAGGAGGTTGTAATGAGGCGAGTCCTGGAAAAAAATGGATTCAGAAAATTTAAGTATTTATAGGCCAGTGAATAAAATTTCTTCCTGGACAAGATGCTTAAGTACATGATGACTGATCACATCCAAATATCCTATGAAACAGATTTTCTAGATCCATTTCAATCAGGGTTTAAGCCTGTTTTGGTGGCAAAATAGTTATAATTGTCCTGTTGGGTTTATCTTTGCTGGGAGAGTACAACCCTGTTGCTTCCCTCAAACTTTTGATGAATTTTAATACCATCAACCTTGCTCTTCAACATCTACGTAAAAATACCGACACCATTAGGAATTTACCAAATAAGGATCAATGTACTGAAGTGCCATCAAAACAAATCAGAAGTGTTATTAGTGGCTAATTTATTTGCCAAGTGAGGGGAGATCAACCTATTCTTCATGTGGTTATATCCTCCAAAGGATTAAATTCCTAGCTAGGTAGGGGGATTTCTGGATCCATGAATTCAAAGTCATTTTAAGGTCAACTTAGAAGTTACAAGCAGCAACCCTGCAGTGGGGGGTTTCAATGTTGGAATGCCTTCAGTGAAGTATCTCTGGGGTTTGTCATTATGGTTATAATGCCTTTGTTTTGTTTGACCATTATCCTAATATATATTGTACTGTTTTTATAAAATATTTTAATGTTTCAAATTCTGTTAATACAATGTTTTAAAATGTGGTTTTAACTGTAGATTAGATTAATTCTAACTAGAAGGAGTTGGGGGAAAAAATTCAATGAGATAGATAGCAAGTAAGGAAATTTGGAACATTTATTTCCATACATGTGGTTTCTGTTCTGTACTAAGTTCATATGTAAAAAAAATCTCTTATATTCAATGTTTAAGCATTTGTTTTAATGAATGATTCAGATGCAATTGGAGTATTGTCTGGAGCCACTAAATGTATTTAGTGATTACTTTGTCAGCTGCACAGAATATCAATTGATGTTAATTTGATCTCTGGCTTAACTTTAGTCTCCATATTACTGTACTGGAATTACCCAAACACATTGAGAAAAGAAACTATTCAGGATACAGCCTCTCAGATATTATTGAACTGCTTACAAGTCTTACTTCCCCAAAATTATTCTTTCTAAAAACACATCTCTCTTATTTTTGATGCAATACCGTGCTTCTTTGGAAGATCCACTGTGAATTTGTGCAGCACCTCTCTGGTGTTTCCTTGAAGCGTTCCAAAAAGTGCACCACTACCATCTATTACAATGAAGCCGAATTTGCTATCATCTGACAATAGTGCTGTTAGGGCCTAAAAGTCAACATGACAGAAATTGAGTTGGAACAAGCTAATGTACAGCAAATCAGACAAGAGAGATATTCTCCTGAAGGAATGTTTTTATCGTCTTTCTACTCCAAAATTGCTTGGAGGTTAAGCTACTATCAATGTACGCTTTTGCACTTAAATAAAAAACACAAATGATCTTCAAATACAATCCATACATCATTTTGTGAACAAGAGAGAGATACTCCAAGATGAATGAAGCTCAAATGATTTGGGCTGTCTGATAGTACAGCTTTAATAATATCAGTAAAGTGCCAATCTTAGAAGTGGGCACATAAAGCAACACCCTCAAGTGAGCTTGTGTACTAAATAATTTTTGGCTCACTTTGTTTACCCAAGATAAAGGCTGTTAGTAATTTAGTTAGTAACACTAAGTAATAAGAGTCACACACAAGCGTCACATAGGCACCTGACATACAAAATGAAGGAAATGCACTGGGAGGCTAAGATTAGCTGTGCTGGCGCAATAGTTAGAATGCTGCATTGCAGGCTAATTCTGCCAACTGCCAGCAGTTTGATTCCCACCCGCTCAAGGTTGACTCATACTTCATCCTTCTGAGGTTTGTAAAATGAGGACCCAGATTGTTGAGGGCAATATGTTGACTCTGTAAACCACTTAGAGAGGGCTATAAAGCACTGTGAAGCAGTGTATAAGTCTAAGTGCTATTACTATTACTATTAGCAAATCACAATCTGACTTCTAAACTTCACTAGGACAGTCCATTTAAATTACCTGTGATATGTGATTATGTAATGCTTTGCAAAAAAAATGCAGTGCAACTCAGTTCTCAGATTATATTTATGTTCACATGTTCTAAATTTTTCTTTTGTCTCCCATCTTGAAAAATGCAACTGTCAACGCATTTTCATCTGGAAGTTCTGGAACTGATGTTCAGGAAAAATGGTCATGTTTTCATACATGACTAGACTTCCCAATGCTCAGTAACTTTTCTTGCTATTAAATACACAGTATGGTTCAATTTAAGAAAAAAAAATAAAAAGGTTAACTTACCTCTGTATGAAATTTATTATCACACAAATACAATGATGTATTTATTGGTTTGAAAGGTTCAAAGTCAATGTTCACTTTCTTCTCCTTTCCTTCTTCTGTCACAATTGTTCCACAGTAAACAACCAGACCATTTGGAGGTACTGTAAAAAAAAGTTACAATCTTAAGTACTGCTAAAGCTTGAATCATTTTATGTATAATGGAATTAGCCAGATATTTTACCTTTGTTATATAGTTTTAGCCGTTGCTGTACAGAAGTAATGGCGCCAAGGACTGAAAGACGATTCACTCGAGATTTAATATTTGATGCTGTGCCAAACTCATCAGCTAACATTTTTGCCACTCGGGAAATCTGGTCTTTGGGGGGAATGATCAAGGATATCATGCTGGTGCCATTGCTAAAATAAACAAAGAAACAAAAAGATTCAAACCAGCAACATCATATTTAAGGGATAAGATTTCCATACTAAATGTGGAAGAGATGGGCAGCCATATAAATTACCTAATAAATGGTGGATAGGGTAATAGTTATACAGTATTCATTACATGTAACAAAACATGCTGTGTATGTTATGTCAGCATATATGTTGCTGTATATAATTGCTCAACACAATGAAATTGAGGGTACTGAAATACCTTAGGTTCTGTCAAAACCATCAGTAAATGTTTTTAAAAAAACAACACCTTTTTAGTTCTAGCAAGTATGCAAACTTGATCCATTTTAACCTGAAATTATTAACAAATAATTCTTCAGAACAAGGGTCAATCTTACACTTATGAAGATAGCTCTCATATACATCAGCACAGAGAAAGCTCATGCAGAGATATACAATACTACAAAGATACAAAGCTTTGTGTCCATAATAATGGTGACATGATACTGCAATTGGGGCTTTTCATTTTGGCATACTTGATAAAAGTTAAAGAAATAATGTTTGCATATCCTTTAAAACTTGCTCTTTAGTACTGTGAAAGCATCTCTCTCCCTATTCCATTTTTAATACATTCTATTCAATAAATATCCCATTTTCCCATCTACCTTAAAGGCAATTAACAAATGACTCATTTTCATACTGGAATTTTTAGTGACAGGACATACCTACTGAAATACAAATTTTAATGCATTATATGCCTTTCTAGAATTTTCTCTCAATCATAAGGGGTATAATATATAGTTATTCTCTCTATTCCTACGATTTTTGGTGTTTGAATCATCAGTTAGTCATTTAATCCTTCACCAACAGTACACAAATATTTTTTAAAAAATATTTAAAATTCCCTGTACCAGTGTTTAGCATTTAGCTGCCAGAGATAGAACATGAGCAGTATCCCTTTATCTAATCTATTTTTCTCTACAGAAAACAGTAAAGGTAAAATTAGTGTTGCAAAAATATGCTTTGATGGAAATTCACTAGCAGTTCCCCCTCTATCTTTTTAAAATGGTCACAGAAACCTTCCACAACCAGTGAAAAATTTTGTCATATTGACCTTGCCAATGTCATCTAGCAGCACTCAGCCACCTATAGGTAGTAATAATGTCTCTAAGCAATAGATCCCACCTTCTATGAATGGGTAAAAGACCATGTTTTCAAAGTACAATGTAGCACTACTGGAGCAGCATTTCTTATTTGCCAAAACCTTTAATAAAGAGCCTTTGGTTTGATGCTCAAATCTTCACAGATATTTGAGACCTGTTAACTTTACCACACAAATAGTTCTTAGATACAGGCAACCAATTAAACTGTATCCAAGAAAATTACACGGATATAAGGAAGTGATTTAAAAGAGCTGTCTGTACATTCATTTCAATAAATGATTTTTTGCACAGCTTGTCAATATGTACAGAACAAATTGCAAAACTGACAATGCAATTACTGCTGCAGACCATAGAAAGAGTTATATGGATAACTAAAAAAAAGGTTTGAATAGAATTAAACCTAATGGGGTTTGTTTAAAGTGACTTCAGATCAAGTTCAACTACCATGTTTCCCCAAAAGTAAGGCCTACCCCGAAAATAAGCCCTAGCTTGATTTTTGGGGTGGGCCTAATATAAGCCTTACCCCAAAATAAGCCCTAGTTTTGGGGCGAGGCACATGCCTAAAAATCAAGCTAGGGCGGGGGTGGAGCTGCCCACGTGCCCCGCATCCACTTTACCAGATTTCCCATGAATTGACACCTCGCTGACCCACTTCTTCTGCAGTGTTCCCCAGATTGCATTTTACAATTAGAGGCCTTTCTGTAAGGCCTCTGAAGCCGAGAACTGAGCTATGGATTCAATCTGTAGCTCGGTTCTTGGCTACAGAGGCCTTTCCAGAAGGCCTCTGATGGAAAAATGCAGGCCTGAACTCCATTCTCAGCTGCAGAATGAAGCTGACCCTTCGGCGGCAGAAGTGGGCCAGCTGGGTGGGGCTGTCGGTGGCCCTGCCACGAGGTGAGTGGAAAAGACACCCCCCTGAAAATAAGACCTGGTGTGCCTCTTTTGGAGGCAAAAGAAAAAAGACTGGGTCTTATTTTCGGGGAAACACGGTAATGAGAAGAATGCTATAAACATGCAGTTTTCTTGGCTACAGTACTGAAATTCTGAAATTGTTTGTTAATTCCCAGTATAGGTCATTGCATTAGAATTAACTGTGAGTCTCCCATCCCAGGCTGATTCTACTTAATTTCAATGTCCAGACAAGGATGGCCAGGTGCTAGTGCCAACTTAGTTTTTCCAAAACGTTAGCCATTCTTATACAATTTAATGGAGAAAGTTATTTACTCAATATTTCCTCTAAAGTGCAACTTGCCTTTCAAGACCATTTCATACCTACCTCATACATTAATCCATTTCAACATTACTAGAACACTAATAATAATTAAGCTGCTCAGTTTCTTAAATTAGACATATAATAAAACTGTATTCAGATTAAAAGAACAAAGCTGCATGAATCATCCAAGATCAAATGTGACTCTGCAACATGCACAAAAGTCAATCAAATGAACTGAATCATCAAATCAGAGTTTCATATAGCTCCTTTGCAGAACATATTCCTGCCATCTGCTGGTTAATTTAGTAAGACTTAGGAGAAACTGCAATGATGAAGATCAAGATCTCTATCTTAATCAAGATTCAGATTAACTTTCAGGATTCAGTAGTTTTACCTCACAAGAAAACTGATCTCCAAATCTTTCAATTATTCACAAGATTTTGACTCCTCAATGGGTTTCAGTTATAAAACTCTGCACTGAGGAACAGGGTTAAGAGTATTATATCTATCCACAGTGAAGATGAAATAGCTAAAGAAATGTGAAACTACAACAGCTTCTATGGAAAAATACCTGCACATTTTAAGGCAAAAATTTAGAGAGCTGTGGATATTATGAACACTTTGTGTTGAACTTTCACTGCAAACAGAATTTTCCATAATCCCTTAATCAACACAGCAATTAAAAAGGAGAATTAGGACAAGATTATCTGGAATATTTTATTATCAATCAGAAGCTAAGTCACACTTTGAACTGCAAAATATAAATTTATATTTATTAAATTAATAAAATGGTAAATCTGAACCTATTTGAATCTGTACTCTTTCATATACTACTGTTTTAATAAAATATATTTATTCAGTTCCTACAAGGTCAGTCAACTAGCCCAATACAGCTGTTCTCTCACTTCATGCAAGCTACACTATTAAGTATCAATCAACAGTTAGTAGGCAAAGAGAAAGCCTCCAGAGTATAAGATTGTTTTCATTTACTATAGTTACTAGTCCACTATAGCATCTCTCCAGTTATAGAAACCCGCTGTTGGATTTTTGCAGTTCACTTTGAGATTAAGTTAGGGTTTGTTAACTGGTGAATTTGGCCTCATGTAATTTTTGCAGCCACGCTGTTCTCTGAAGTTTAGTTTGGGAGCAGTTAGGACGTTTTGCAATAATAACTAACTCTTTTATGAGGGGGTCCTTGGTGCTCTCTGAGCTTGCTTGTTTTCTTACAGAGGTTTCATTACCCAAACTAGGTAGCATCATCAGTACATCTTCCTTCCAACTGTAGCTCTTCATGGGCTGAGTTGATGGGCATCATACCTGATCATGGTGCTGGGCTTGAATTGTCATTTCAGGCAGCTATGGAGCCACAACTCTTCTTGTAGGATAATATCTCAGGATGGGAGGGTCAGCGTGTTCAGCCTACTTGGAGTGAACACACAGGAGTAGCATGATGCCACCTAGGAAAGGTTATCCTAGAGGAAAGGTAAAACTAGGCAAAACCAGTTTGATCTTAGCCAGGACTGGTTGGGTGATACTAAGAAGAGCTGTTGCCAGCCATTCATTCCAGTGGGTACAATGATGGCCACAGCCCTAGGAGTAAGCAAATAACACCTGTACATACAGAGCTACGTCACCATGAGAGATCAGATCTTTTCTGCCTGAACAGAATCTGAGTTTTGTGCTTAGTTCCAGCTAAAGCATATTGCCCTAATTGCACAAATTACTAGATTATTATTACATCTGCTAAATCCTGCTCTTTCAAGTGTACATGATGTTGATATGCCAGTCTAAGTTGGCAAAATAAACGAACACATTTTTGTGCAGCATCAAAATATTCTATTACGCCACCTGACATAACATTCAGTGTGAAGCATTTTACTAATTTCTAAAGCAAGCACTTTTACCATTGGGTCTTGCATCAGAAATAATAGTAATTTATTTCTTCCTCAAACTGAGGGAAATTCATTTGTATTGTTTAATGAAACAGATATGACGGTGGACTTGATCATACATTTTTATTTACTTATTAAATTTATATGCTGCCCATCTCACTATCAAGCAACTCTGGGTAAATGACAACAGCAGGCATTACTTTGTATTTAGGTCCTTTCATAGATTGTGAGATACCTAGGATACAAGGATTAACTAACCCAGAAATACAAATAAGGAACAAAGGCCTAGGGGTGAGTCAGTTAAGTAAGTAGCTTTATTTAACTTATAAATGAGGATGAGACCTAGTATTAACATCTGACAGCCTGTCATATATTCCTTTGCAAAAATACAAGTCGAATAGACCTTGTCAAGAATTTAAAACATCTTTTCTTTTTCCTGACCCCAGAAAATGGCGAGATCACCAACGAGTTATTTAGGATAAAGATTAAGTTGACATAACAGGACCAGAACAATCCAAATCAGAGAATTAAAGACATCTAAGATACAAAGGGTTTTACTGATAACTATGTTATTCACACCAGCAAAAAATCCAATGAAGTAAAAATTTAAATATTATGATAAGTTAATAATAACAAGGAGAAGTCAAGGCTTAGAAGGATCACCATAAATTGACACTAGGAAAGAATTATATGGTAGTATTAATTTAATTTTTTTTTAGACATTTTGGAGGAAAGCAGGATATTTTAGAGACGTTT